CGTATCCAGAGTTCAATCAATTACAGGACTGGCTTATGAAGTTTAGTTATGGTGGATGCAACATGGTACACTGAATTCATAAGTGAGGACCCTTAGTTAATAACACATTTGTACTACACAAGTAACACTAAAGGCTATAATTAAGCAAATTCTACCTTAGTTAAAAATGGTGATAGGTTTTTTCTCATACATACATCTCTAGTATAAATTATATAATAATGAAAAATAGGAATGATGTGCCATTGTAATCTTTTAAGCATGGTTTAATAGGAGAGGGCAATTTACTAGCTTTTTAAAAAAATCTTTATTTTTATGTGGTGCTGAGGATCAAACCCAGTGCCTCACCTATGCTAGGCAAGTGCTCTACTTCTGAGCCCAATTTACTAGGTTTTTAAAGCATGCTTTGACCTTGGTAGTTCATTTTCTTCAAGACTGTTCTGAGCTAATATGTGTTTAACATCATTTGGATGTTTTTACGACTGCTTTGTTCTTTCTACCATCCTTTGCAAGTAGATAAATGCACATAGGTTTGCTAGAAATCTTTAAATGTATGATGAAAACATATGAAACTATCTATTAAACAATTACACAAATGTAGGTCTTATTTCTGAATAAGCCTGGAGGTGTGTGTCATTGGAAAATGATTTTCGTGAATGTGAAAATGACCTGAATTGGCGATTGGTGGCTGGTGGAATGAAGAGGAGAAGGGATGGGAAAACCTCCATTAACTGGAGGGTGAGACTTCCACATACTACCTTCTTGTTCTGGTTTCAGGTTTCTCTTTGTTAAAAACCAAGCAAACAAACCCCCTTATGATTGGACTCTGTCCAAGAGTTGTAAAGTAACAGTGAAAAGAGTTTTGGGATTCCATGTACCAATTTCACTGAGGACTCACAAAAAAATTGTATAAGTCACTTATACCCTGTGTTACTTCAGTTCCTGGATGTGTTCAAAAAGGATTATATTTGATCCTAAAAATAATTAACTAGGGTGACTTTGCAGAATTCTAAGAGGATATTTAATTATGTAAATTTCCACCACTTTAATAATTATCCTTTGATTGGACATCATTCTTTATCTATGTTTTGACTAAATTCTAAAATTTTAGAATCTTCTTGTTAATTCACTTTCCATCTTTATCATCCACATCCTTAGTATCTGTGTTTCATGGATTTCTTTTCTCTGCTATTATCTTTCCTTAATGTTTTGAATCAGTGAGTCTTGCTTCTGCTTCTTCTGGTACTTGGATTCTAGTCAAATCCTCTATATTATATCTTATTTGGATTAGGATTCTTTCCCTTGATATATACTGCCAGGAAATTAGCTTGTTATTTTTCTTATATGCAAAAGATTCATAAATTTTATTTTACAATCAAAGCATAATTGATGTCTAATATGACTGGAAATAATATCTTAAATATTATAATTTCATCAATGGATCTTTATTTGTTTATGAATTACTCTCCATTGATTATATCTGTCTTTTTTGTATGTGTGTGTGGTAATGGAGACTGAACCTAGGGGCACTTTACTGCTGAGTTCACCTCACCTCTTTTTATTTTTTATTTTGAGACAGAGTCTTGCTAAGTTGCTAAAGCTTGCCTTGAGCTTGCAATCCTTTTGCCTCAGCCTCTGGAGTTCCTATCATTATAGGCATGCAACACTGCACTCAGAAGATGTATCAGCCTTTATTATGTAAGCTGGGAGAGGGGGAATTTCACCATTAAATTTAGCATCTGAATTTTGCAGTTATAAATGGAACTAAAGGTCATCTGGTTTAAGCCTTTCATGTTATTGATAAGCAAGAGGGTAAATTATTTACTTGTCTAAGATAACTCACTAGTTCTAGGTCCCCGTGTGGTCAATCCCAAGATAAGCTTATGTGTGATTGGACTTAGAGAGTGCACCTTTGAGAACTGGCAGAGATTCATCCTTCTGCTGAAAACACATATGCCATATAGATGCTTGATTTTGTTTCCAAAATCAACACCACATCACTTCTCAGTGACAGCAATCCATCCTATATTCACTTGACAAACATTTAATTTATATTGTCTATGAAACAGGTACTGTGCTTTTCCCATTTTAGGGTACTTGCAATTTAAGATGAAGGCAAGTGTAAAACAAGTAACAATACAAAGAGTTGAATCCTAAAATAGAAGTATATATGTTTTAATTTTTTTTTTTAGTTTTAGATGGACACAGTACCTTTATTTTATTTATTTATTTTTATGTGGTGCTGAGGATTGAAACAAGTGCCTCATATATGCTAGACAAGGGCTCTACCAGTGAGCCACAACCCCAGCCCAAGCATACATATCTTAAAATAATAAAATTATTTTTTCTTTACATAACAGTTTCTTGCACAATTTGCCACCTGAATGTCTAAATAAGAGGAGGAGTGGATAAACATATAAGAGAGTTGGTTACCATTTGGTCCAAGAGTAAACATCTGCTTCTCCTGCCAAGTATTTCATTGTTCCTAGGTGAAAAATTTTTTTTCGGAGTTAAATAATCAAAGCATACTTACAGTATAAAGACAGAGTTCTCTCTTTTCTAGGTATACACTCTGAACAATCTTATGTTCTTTTTTCCAGAAATATTCTATACATACAGAAATGTGTGTTTAATATTAAGCATTATTTTTTCCCTACTTACCCTAGACATATATCAGTACATGTTCATCTGACTTTTAAAAAAATGGTGGAAATTAGAGCTTTATATATATATAGATAATAATTTAAGCAGAAAGTGACTTTTTTTAACAGTAAGAAATAACTGGGAGATAAACAAAGAAACACACACACACACACACACACACGCACAATTTGAAATAGTTGACAAGAGTCAACAGTACCACAGCACAAGCATATAGTAGCCCAAGTTTATGGAATTAGCCAAATTCAAGGACCCATGCCTGTACACCCAGCTTCATGGAAGGCTGAGACAGGAGGACTGCAATTTTGAGGCCTGCCTTGTGATTTTGTGAGACCTTGTCTCAAACAAAGAAACAAACAAACAAACAAAAACAAATAAAAAACAAGGAGCAAAGAAAGAAAAAAAAATATAGGGGATGTTCCTCCATGTTAAAGCATCCCAGGTTCAATCCCCAGTGTGTGTGCGTGTGTGTGTGTGTGTGTGTGTGTGTGTGAGTGGGGGGGGGGGGGGGGGGATTTTCTGACTATTTCTTCAACTGTATTGACTTCTAGAACCTGTGTTGTGATAGTCTGCTTTTTTTATTTTTTCTTTTCATTCATAACTGCTGATAACTTTCTCCCTAACTAATCTGAGGAAGTGGTAAAAGTCAAACTTTTTCCTGTATGAGGCCACACTTGGTGCTGTCTGAAACCATCTAGACATGGCTGCCAGGTTCAGACATCCTTATGTTCCAACTCATACCAACTTTGCTCACCAATTCCTGGCCTTCCTTTGCTCAGCACTTGGCTTGACTTCCTGCCTTTTTATCGGCGGCAATCTATCAAGACCCTGTAATGTGCTTAGTGCAGGGTAGAACAAGTCAGTTCTCCACCTCACAATTTAAGGAAGGCAGGGGGCTAGTTTTTGTTTTTAAGATAAAAATCTTTTAACAAAACACAAATTCCCCAAAACTTCCTTTAAACCAAACAGCATTGTGACACCCTCACAAGCTCTTATTACTTACACAGCCAGATGACTCAAGATTACTAACGTTTCTATTCATAAGGAGTTTGCTGGCCCCAAATCAACACATCAGGCCCTCCCCCATCTTCCTTCTCTCTCCCCAGGGAGATCTACGTTTGGATCTATGTTTTATTAGAATAAAACTGCTGCTGGAACGGTTTGTCCTGGTATTTTATAAAGCCTCTCCTACTTCTTTTTAAAGTTCGCTTTTTTTGTTTTGTTTTAATGGGTGGGGGAAAGGAGTTCGGAATCTCTTTAGCCCCTAAATCTTCCAATTCAGAAATCTATTGTAAAAATGGTCTATAAATACACTAAGGACCGTGTTCGCTATTTACTGGAAAACAGGGTTCATATCAGAAATCACCTGCATCTACATTCCTGTCACCTACTGTCAGAGACAGAGCAGAGGGAAACAGATGAGCCTGCCTTCTGGGGGGTTACAGTCGAAGCTGCCGTTTCTGCCCACTTTTCGCTTTGGATCTTTCACTTCACACCTTTCTCCGCAAAATTAAGTGTAAAAAATGTCTCTACTAAACCTGAAGGTGTTCCCCGAGGCCTTATGGCACCCGGTCCAGGACGCCCTTCACCTAACTCCGCGCCCTTTTCACAGGCGTTGGTGGCAAGGAGAAAACCTCGCAAACCACCAGACTCAGCCTGTTTCCTTTGGGTAGCGCCACGGTCCGGATTCGCGGCCCTCTCTGAGCCCTCCCCTTCGCGGCCCTCCGCGGGCCGCGGTCCTCAAGCGCGCGGGCGGGGCGGGAACACCGGGAGGAGCGCGGGGGCGGCCGGGAGGGGGCGCCGCCGGGGCACGAGCCGGTCCAGCGGGGCCGCGGAGAACGCGGACTCTGAGCACGGTGCCAGGGTCGCACTGGGGTCCCGCGCCCCGGGCCTGCGCCGAGAGGAAGGCGGGGCGGCGGGGCGGCGGCTGCGGCGGCGAAGGGGCGGTGGGGGTGGCGGTTTCGCGCCGCGGCTCTTTCAACGAGCGTCTGCAACTCGGGGCTGACAACTTCTCCCCGCCCGCGCCCCGCGCACTCGGCCACCCGCGACTCCCGCACCTCGTCCCCGGCCCGCCCCCGCCTCCTCCCCGGGCCGCGCCGCCTCCCCGCCAACACACACCCAGTGGGCCGCCGGCCGTGCTTCTCTCGGTTACAAAGGAGGGAAAATGAGCCGGGCGGCGGCGACACCGCGCGGGGCCACCGTGGCGACTGGGAGCGCGGCCGCCCCCGGCACCACGTAAAACGCCCCTGCCCAGCCGCGGCCCAGGCCCGAACGGAGCCTGCAGCCGGCCGCTCGACTCCAGAGCTCTGCGTCGCCTCCCGGCCGCGGGAGGAGGAGGAGGAGGAGGAGGAGGAGGCGGCGCCGCCTTCTCCGCGTCGCGCGCCCTAGCCGTTGTCTGCGCTCGGCTCTGGACCAGTTTGGGGAAGTTGCCGGGGCCCCGCGTCGTCCAGATGTGCGACCTCATTGAACCGCAGCCGACTGAGAAAATCGGCAAGATGAAGAAGTTGCGGAGAACTTTGTCGGAGAGTTTCAGCCGCATTGGTGAGTGGCGAGCTGTACCCGGGACCCAGCCAAGCACCCTCGGCTCCCGATCCCTCGGCCCCGCGCCTCCGCCGCGCTCCTGGCTCTAGGCGTGCAGCTGGCACCCTGGGGGTGCGGTGCGGACCCGGGATGGAATGTATAGTGCTGGGACGTGGGGGAGGGTGAATACCAGAAGGAAAGACATCCCTGTCAGCATATGGGACTTCATTTGTGGACTATCTCAAGCCTTCAATTTGGGTTCGTCCTCCCCTCCACTAGTGTTTGGGCTTTCGCGCCCGCAGAGGATGGAAAAGGGGACGCCTCGGCCCCAAACGCGCACCGGACTGTTGGGCTGCCCTGATCACTCGTTATTTTTTTCCGCGCAGGCTTTGGTGTTGGGTGTTTAATCAATAATTTAGCCTTGGAGATTGGCGAAGCCTTGGGTTGTGCCACAGTATTGTTTAGCATATCCAACCTAAAGGGAAGTGGGACAGATACCTTGGGACCTTTTGTTCCGTACTTCGGGTCCTAGAAAACGAGATTGGGTGTTCAGTTTCGAGGTCTCTGAATTTTCAAACTGCTGGAGAGAAATATGTGCTGTGAAGTTGTCTGGACATTTAGGAATTAAGTCTCTCCAACTTGTTCCATGTACTAGAGCTCGGGGGCTATTGTCTTTAACCCGGGGGAACCTACTGATTAACAAAAACCGACTGAGGAATGTTTAGTATACTCAAATAAATCATGTCACAGGCTATAACAGTGACAACAGTGGCATGTTGAATGGATTTGTTCGATTTTGAGTGTTGGCCATAGAAATCCCCTTTTAACCTGTAGAAATAGTTGTCTCCCTTCTGTCATAACTTTCACCAATACAGGTAACTGCACCCAACAAGAGAATCCTACAAGCCCCCCCAAATAATCCATACTAAGAAACCTCCAGCCTTTGTTTCACATGTCATCCATGTTAATGAAGGTGTTAATGGAAATTAATCATAAATGGGCTAATTTCTCAAAATAAAACCCCAAGGTGCCAGTGAGTGCTGCAATCATCCTTCCATCCATTCATTATAAAATACGCAAACTTTCTTCAAGGGAGAGAAAACGTGGTCAAGATTTAGTCAAGTTTTTTTTTTTCTTAAAATTTTATGTCGATTTACAAAATCTTTCCTAAGAAAAGTAATGTTGTGAAACCATTATTTAGTTCTGGTTTTATTTATGTGTATTGGATATTTGCAGTTTCACTCTTCAGAGTTAAGAATGCATATGCTACATTCAGATGAAGTTTGAAGCCCAGAAGAGTGTGAGAGTGAGGTGTTGAGTTCTGTGCATCATCAGCAAGGATGTTTTAACCCCTAGCCCAAACCATCACAGAGGCAGGTCTTGGAGTCCATTAAGTCCTGCTCTAAAACACTTTAACTGTATATTTACTAATGCTAATGACTCTGTTGGAGTCCTTCCAGTTTTGTGTTAAATAATTCATTGCAGTTGAGTCTCAGTAAGAAATCAAGGACATTAATATAAAAAATTCCTTATGTTTAAATAATTTCAAGGTTTTGATTGACAATCAAGAAAATTTGGATTAACTACAATGCTGGTTAATGGGGCATTATAGCTAATTGGATTTTCTAGCTTATGGAGATTTAGTGATATGAAACTCCTTTGAGTTCAACTCTTGTTAAAAATCCCCGTTTTGGTACAGAGAAGTAAACATAACTGATTATTTCTTGTATTGAAGGAGGGTATGGTTCCAAATATCAAGTCAGTATGGAATACTGTGAAAGGAGATTTTGAAGTTTAAGTGATTATAGTTGTATATATACCAAGACCAGGATGATCATTGGACATACCATTCCAGAAAAATAATTCTTTCTTATTTATTTTCTCAATTTTTCCCAAAAATTGAAAGCAGTGAGCACATTCTGATAATTTAAGGATTTTGAGATGCCAGAGGCTGTTGAACTGAGGCTTACTATGGATTTGTATAGTGCATGAACTAGGAATGAGACTGGGTGTCAGACTGGGGATTCCTGGTGTTGCCACTCTAGCTGAGTGACCTTATAAAGTCTATTAACTTCTCCCACCGTTAGTTTTCCATGTACAGCTCCATTTTGTTGTTGACACTTAGTGAAATAATGAACATGATTTCCTATGTGATATGTAATAAAGACTCAATAATATGTTCATAATATCTTGTCATTATTAGGATTATGTCATACTGACATAAAGGAACTTATAGGTAGAAAGCAAGAGAAGAGGAAAAGAGGCCCCTGACTTTGTAGTAGAGCCATCCTGAAAACAGAATGGGTTTTGGGATTAGGCAGATCTGGATTTGAACCTCATTTTCTTTGTTTATTGTGTATCATGGGCAACTGTAGTAATTCCCTGCACTCTAGAGTTTTCATCTGTAAATATTCATAAGTTTGTGGTGAAGATTTAATCTGACAAAAATCCCTAAAATATCTGATGCAATGTCTATCTCATGGTGAGATCAATACTGGAGGATGTTGTTATTCCTTCCGATTTTTCTGTTTATATCCCCTGTTGTCCTCTTTTCTTCATTGGGACTTCATGAGGAGATCAAAGAGTGAATGGTTTATCTGTTGAATAATCCAACACTGCAATTTATTCATTTACTTCAGCCAATATAAGATGGGTTTTTAAAAAAATATAATGACTTTATTTTGTTTTTTAATATGATTTAAATGTGTAGCTTTTATATGGTGAAATGTACAACATAATTTTTTGGCTGTAAGAAATCACTAATCATTTATCTATAGAAAATGAGGATGATGCTTGAAAGTATGTGATATACCACCTTATTATAACAATAATTCTGAGTACAAAAAGTAGGAAAGCTAATGTTTAATTTATTCATACATCAGAGATTGTGCTGACTTTTTCACCACCCACCCCAAAAACAGCTGATCTGAGATTATTACATCATAAAAGGTCTAATAAAGCACATTGCATTTCAAGCCATAGTGTTCTAATGTATAACATCTGCCAAGGAGTGACTATAACATAGCCATGGTTCTTTTATAAGATAGGTATGATTGAATATTATAAAGTCAACCATCAATTTCAGTAGTGAGTATTTATGGTTCTCTGCTAAATAGTGTCCATGTGGGCCCTTATTTAGCATTTACTTTTGTTGTCTCACACTTTTTTAAAAAATTTTTTAAATTTTTAAAAAATTTTTGCTAACATAAAGACAAATAAATTTAATTGTTGGACAGTTTGGGTATATTAAAAAACATTTCTTCTTTTTCTTTCTTTGCTTCTTTTCTATTTCAGAATGATAGCCTAGGAGGAGAAAGGCTCTGTGTAATCTCCAATGTATGATTAAGGTCAAATCTGACATTTCTTCATATTCATTTGGTATATTTCTTCACATTTATATGGAGTTATCACCTAGAGAAAGGAAGTTTATATACTGCTATACTTGATATGAACCCATGTATATCATTTCTTTAAAGAATGTAGTTTGTAAGGGAACTGAATAAAAGGAAGAGATTGTCATTATACTGAAATTTTGAATTTCTTACCTTGTGCTATAAGTATGTGATTCTGGAGCCTAGTTGTCATTTGATGAGCCCATTCTGTCAATAAAAAGGAATATAAAGTTAAAGGTTTAGTCAGAAAATTTTAACTATTGTACTATACCCTTTCCCAATTCATTTTCAAAAGATTTCACTTTGAGATGGAGGTATGGTAAAGGGCTTGTCTACCATGTACAAGGCCCTGAGTTTAATCCATAACACTGAAAATTTTCTTCTAATTTAAAAATTACAAAATATGTGATTTATATTCATGGTTCTTTTATAAGAGAGAAAAATGTATGGTTTTCATATGTCCCCAAAGTTAATGTATCCCAAAGTGTATAATGCTATCCTTTTGACATTGAAGTGGAACTCATCCTTTCAACAGATTACGATAGAATACTCTCTATGTACTAGATGTTGTTCTGACACTCAGATTTAGTGACCAACATGGCCGACCCCTGTTCTCAAGGATTTAAAGGGAAGACAAGCCAATGTATGTGCATGGACAATATAAGTGGCAAATTCTGCTATGAAAATTAGTGAAATTTGCTGTTGCAGAGCATAGGAAGAACATCACCTTCATATCAGTGATGTTATGGGAAGATTCTAGAGGGGACAGTGTCTGACCAGAGGCCTGAATAGAACATCTGGTGATCATAACTGGTTTAATATACAGTCTTTGTTAATCCAGAATAATGCAATATGCTTCTTATTCCCTTATATCCTTTAAGATGATTATGGTTTTACATTTACATAAATGATTAACAACAATCAGAGAATGTAATCAATAACAAGACATTGTGGTGTATGTTTAGGTCAGAGTTTATTCACCAGTGACCTGATAAATATCTAGCAAGAATAAGTTTAATTGGTCTTTGTTGTCACTATTAACTGCTTTTTCAGGGAAAGTGTTCAATATTTAGAAGAAACCATGTAAGGTGTCAATCTTAGCAATGAAAGATTTTAATTAAGTAATGGCTTCTTGATCTAAAAATATTTCCCCTGTGGTACCCAGGATTTGAAAGTTTTATAAAGTGGAGAGAATCTGGCTTTCTATTCATTATATTTTAGCAAATATACCTGCAAATTTTTATTTTCTCCTTTTGCTACCTTCAGACCCCATCTTTTTTTTTTTTTTCTGTTCAGAGACTAGTGAATTGTTAGGACTTAGGAGACAAGAAGGAAAAGACATTTTGGTTTTTCTGCCCTCTTTATTCTCAATGGAGGGTCTTCATTCCATGTTTGCAATTCCCAAAGAGTTGCTACCACTTCTTAAGAAAACACATAGCTAAATTTCTAAAACTTTTATAATCCAAACTAGAGAAAATATATTTAAAGGTTTGTGTTCTGAATTATAAGCTGACTGCTGTAGTTTTGCATCTTGCATGATGGTCATGCAATATGTACTCCATTAATCTTTGTTAAATGAGCTGGGTATGAGGCTGTATAATAATTTGCTTATGTGTGATTTTGCATTTGAAATCAATGGGCATTTCATTTCTTATTCCAAAGAAATTACTTTTTTATAGAGCCATTTGTCTATATTTAGAATTACATGGCTACAATTTTGTAGAGGACTTAAGTTGTTGATTAAAAGACACACCTTTTGTTGAGGGAGTATGGAGAAATTTAAAGAGAGGCTTCTAGATTAGAAGTTAAATTCTAGTAAAAATGTAACTGTTAGGAACCATTTAGGATCTTATATCTATCAAAACAGGTTATTTTCAATTTAATATAAATTATGTCATGTATATAATAAAATATAGACCCTCCATTGAGAATAAACTTCCAAGTATTTGAGTGCGGGGTAGCCATTTGAGAATGGGATAAATGACTGTCTTCTTATTTTCTATTGACAATAAATTGTTATCTAACAAAGTAAGTAGACAAATTTCTTTAGGAATGTCTTAAGCAAAAGGGAAAAAGTAAGAACTAAACTGTTAGAAATGTTTTATCTTTCTCAGCCAACCTGCACCCCTCATAACTCACCACCACATTGATATACTTCTTCATCTTTTTTGAAAGTCAACTTTATGCTATAAAACAGAAAATAACATTTTCAGTATTGCTAGAGTATATATTATAAGCATTCACATGTTAGCTTCAAATTAGGCACATTACTTTTCTCAGAGTTTAATTACAAAAATGCTTTGCTTTTCATTGGTTTTGTCAGAACATAGTTTTCCAAGTATTAACTCCCCAAGTCCTCTGTCCAGGCTAGGACTGTCTGCTATAGACCACTAACCACCTACGCACAATTCTGTAAATTTTAAACATTTCTGCAACAAGTGGGTTCAGATAAATTATTTTGTGCATTTCCCTTTCTATGAAACATTCTAAGTCATTGTAGAATTTAAGGAAGCAGAAGTATATGTGTGCCAACTATAAGTGGTATTCTTTCTTTAGAGTGATAAAATTCCAGTTCTATAAACTTAAAGTATTTGTTGGTTCCTATAAACATTCTAAGTGTATTGTTTCTTTGAAAATACTTTTTTATAAAGTTTATCATGTTGGATAGTTTGAATTTTATCTCATTCTGCCATGTTTATTTTGCATGCTCAGTCTTTTGTCACCATGCTTAAACTTCTCTCAGTATGGAAATGTCATTAAGGTACCACACAGAGTGATTGTCATCCTAACAATTGGTTTGGGAGGTCTGTGTATCACACATGATGATGTATAGTCAGAAAAATTTCTGTAAGATGACTTTGTGCTTCTTTTATACTTTTCATTAAAATGTTCAAGAGGAGACGGGGAAAGGTATTTGGGAGGATTGTTCTATTTTCATGTTTATGAAAAATGTTTCACGAAGATGCATTCTGTGCAATTCTCTCTCATTTGCTATTTTTGTATTTGTGATATAACATTGTTGTTCAGATTGGGGTCCAATTTTACTTTCTGAAATGAAAAAAACATATTACTGTTTTATCTGCCCCCCCCCCCAATTCTGTTTTCTAGAACTTAGACAGGTAGCCTCTTTGGGATATTTCACAATTAATTGTTTCCTTTCCCTTTTTATTTTATAGCTTTGAAGAAAGACGATACCACATTTGATGAGGTAGGCTAAATTTCTTTATCTACTTTTAGGTGTATTTAATTACCTCTAGTAAAGTCAGTAGGTGCTAACTTCTCACTTAGAAGCAGGGGGAAAAATCCTTAAAAAACAAATAAGAAATAACATTTGTTTAGTTGTATTATTTTCAGTTTTTAAAAATAGTTATTCAAATTTAAATATTCATTCAAATGAATTTTGTAGTAATCCCCAGAAACATGTATTTAAGTAAATAAACTCATTGAGAGACACTTGCAGGTCTTTGCATTTTGTCTTCCTGCTGCAGTAGTGCTGGAGAAGACCAGTGTGAGGTGCTTGCTTAGGGCAAGTCTAGAGCCTCAGAAAGCTGGACACTGTGGCTCCTTTGCAGACCTCTGCCCAATCAGGCATGATGTAGTATTGACCCACATATTGTCTTTCAGTCTCCCAAAGGAGACAGTGACTCTTCCTGTTCTATTTTCCCTATTCTCTTTGTGTCAGATGTGTCTTTATCTACTTGCTACAAAGTAGTGAAAAAACACTTTTGAAGTAAGGCAGAGAGTCATATGTAATTAATAGAATTCTGAATGTGATTTTAAAATTGTGCTTTCCTGAGTTTGTGTTTCAGAGTGAAGTATTTTATTGTAATCATCGAAAGCCACAATTGATCTGTTGCAAACTTGCCACACGTGTATGTTTACTGAGTATTTATATATAAACAGAGATGTATCTATACAAGGTGCTTACCTCACAGCCTAATAAAAGCAAAGATTTAGTTTGGTTTGGTTGGTTGACTTGTTGGAACACTTGCATATTCCATGAAATATGTTACCTGTCTTCCCTCTGCTGTAGTGCTTCAGAGAGGAAAAGGGCATTTGTGTTCATGGAATGTCCCCTTGGCCATGTGGCTGGCCCTGGTGCATGGCAGGTCCACTCTGGGAGAACCCGCTGCAGGCTGGGATTTCTGGATGGGGCCAGCATCACTTGGCTGTCACGGTCTGCTGCTTCATCTGCTGCACCTGTTCTTTTTTTTCCGCCCCCTGGACTGAGTTCTACAAAGCTGTGTTTCTGGATTCCAAAGCAACTCCCCCTGCCAGTAGTCCTATAATATCCTCTAAAGCTCAATTCTTCTTGACCTGAAGCAATAGAGAAATTTTTTCTGTCTCATTCATAGTAGGTAATAATGGTGTTTTCCTCCAAACCTGTATTTCTGGAATTTTCACCAGGCTATTATTGAGATGTTTTCAGGAGAGTACTTCTTTCTTCCATGGGGAAATCAGTATGAGAATACCAGACATCATTTCTCTCTTTAAAAAGGGAGGTGTTCCCTCTTAATTTTGGAGGTAGCACAAACTTACATTAAGAAAGAAAAATAAAGAAAAGGAGGAAAAAAAAAACCCTCCCAAATCCTGTTATTCAGATACAACCACTATTGAATATTCTTGCTTCATTCCCTGTGTTTTAAAATTATAGCCCATTATATACCTGCCTTTCCCTTTAACCTGTAGCATAATGCGCCCCCCTTTTATAACAGTGTCTTCTTAATCATTATTAGGAATTAAAAAAAAAAAAAAAAACAACTCCTCTGTCTTATTTAAACCTCATTGTTAATGATCGTGTTTTATTCTGTCATGTGCCTGGACTATGAGCTTAAACAAATGAAACAGTCTAGAGCCAGATGAAGGTTATGATATAAAAGGAAAAGGATGTATAGGTGACTCCCCTAACTTTATATTATTCTGAAACCTGTGCACAGTTAAAGGTCTGGATTTTGTAATTTGGAGAAAAACCATCGTTAGCTTTTACACAGCGCTTTTCTTCCTTTATAGCAGGGGAGATTGGTTAATGCTATAAATCACAGAGTGTTAGACCTAAAAGAACCATTGGAAATCGTCTTTTTCTCACTCTGTCATTTCACAGATGAAGGAATCCAGATCCAGAGGGGCAGGGTAATTTCCAGCTCAAGGAAAAACCAAGAGCTGGGAGCCTGGGAGATAGTAGCAATGAAGGCATGCCTTGGGGTGAACCCTAACCACCCTCTGACGGAGCAATTGACGTACGCATTCCTTGTGTTTGGAAAATAGACACAATAATAGTATCTTCCTCTTAGAGTACCTAGGAGTATTAAATAAGCTAAAATATACAAAGGATTCAGAATAATAGCTGTCAGAGTAAATGTCTGAAAGTTGGTATTATCATCTTCATTGCTTTTCTCCTCCTCCCCATCCTCTTCCTCACTACCACCATGACCAATACTCCACCTCATATTCTCCTTTGTATTTGGAAGGTCTACAGAGAGGATAGAAGGATTCAGTTAGAAATTATGAATTGGAGCTATAAGGAGAGTTAATTTCAGATATCACTCTAAAATTTCAAATAAAGCTTTGTGTGATAATGTGCATATTAAAACTGAAAATGTTACCTGAACCCAACCATTTTTTTAGGTTCGATGAGGGGATGATTGCATTCAGCTTTGTAATTCCTAGTTATATTTTACATGGTTAATATTCAATAAATATATGTCAAATATGAGTAACTATCTGTTGCCAAGGAATAGAGAGAGTTAAATCAGGTGTCAGGCAGTGTGGATTCTTATTTGCTATTTTCTAGCTATTTGGGCAAGTTATCTAACTTGCCTCAACCTCAGTTTTAACATTTGTAAAATCAGTGAGTTGGACTGTGCTCTTCAACTATGTTTTCTAGTTCTGAATGTAGGATTCTAAGAACCTAATAACCAGCTTAAAATTAATTTAATCAAGATCAGAGAAGCACCAAATATGTGGTGATATAAACAGGAAGAATTTAGTTCTTCTATAATCATTTTCAGTTTATTGTGGTAGAAGTTTGCTTGAACTCATGTTTTCCACTTTTTCTCTCTTGGAATTGTAGTACTCTGTGGTCCACTGAAATTTAATTCAGATTTGAATCTTGAAGCCTGAGGGTTGGACCATTTTCTTAGATATGCCACAAGGTGCTGCAACCCTGTCCTTAATACTATGAGCTTATCTCAAGGAGTGGCTTCCTCCAGGGGGTGACTGAACTGGAGATCAGTTGTGGCTCCATGATTCATATAGAGGATTTCTTTAGAGGGCGTGTGAGGAGAAAAAGAAATATAGATTTAGTTGTCATTTAATTATTCGATTGAAATACTCTTATTGCTGATTTTCATTTTGAAAATTATAATTCTTGAATATATTCAGAAGTATGTGCTAATGCTTGTAAATTAGGGGGGTGTGTGTGTGTGTGTGTGTGTGTTTGTGTGTGTGTGTGTGTGTGTGTGTGTGTGTGTGTGAACAGTTTGGAAGTTAAGTATTGAGGTCTTTAAGTATTTGCAAATGATAGGGATTTTTACTGAAGCCTATCATCATTATTATTGGAGAGAGGACATTTTAAGGATGATAATTTTATCCTTTATTCATGTTGTATTTTGGCCCTTACTAAAATGTTAGCTGATTTTCATTCTGTGGCTTTAACGTATATTTTTGACTTGGGTGGATTAATCATTTATATAGCCATCCAAGTTAACATTTTTTTTTTCTTTTCAGTTTTAGGTTTCCTTCCCCATTTTCTTTTTTTTTTTTTTTCATAAGTGGAACTTTTAATGACCAATGGCATTTGGAATAGATTCTTAAAGTATTTCGAGTTTACAGAAAAATTGGGGAGAAAATATTGCATTCCTTCCCTAGACCCCAGTGCCTTGCCCACTCAGAGCTTCTCTCACTATTAACATTCTTCATCACAGCGGTACTATTTTTTTACAATCAATTAACCTAGATTGACATGTTATTATCACCCATACTCTACAGTTTACATTAGGTTTCATTCTTGATGTACATTCTACAGATTGACAAATGAATAAGGGAATTTATCAACAATATTGTCATATCATTAATATTATTATATCATATTAATAATATAATATATTAATAATATATTAATCAGTGCATTAATATATTATATTAATAATATAATATTAATAATATATTAATTATTGATAATAATAATAATTCCTTGTGCTGTGTCACCAGTCCCTGGCTACCACTAACTTTTTTTATTGTGCCCATTGTTTTGATTTTTCCAGAGTGCTATGTTATTGGAGTCCAGATTGGTTGCTTTGAATTAGTCATTTACTCATGGTGAAATAAATGAATCGATAGATTTTTAAAAACTCATTTTTTTCTTAACACTGTACATTGTATGGACATACCACAGTTTATATATAGCTTTAATTACTGAAAGACATCTTTGTTGCTTCCAAATTTCAGCAGACATGAATAAAGCTATTACAATGAATCATAATGCATTCTGCTGTCATATATACCTAATTAAAATAAAGATATTTTAAAAAAAATTTTGTGTTCATAAAACCTTCAACTTATTTGAGTACACAGCAAGACACATGATTCTTGTATTATATAAAAATAATTTTAGTTTTGTAAGAAACTACCAAAGTGCCTTCCAACGTGACTGTAAAATTTACATTTTCACAGGCAACAAATGAAAGTTCTTGCTTCTCCACTTCCTTGGCAGCATTTGGGATTGTCAGTGTTTTGGCTTTTGGCGATGCATGTGGTATTATGTCATTGCTGTTTTAATTTGCAATTACCTATAACATATAAATCTGAACATCTTTCATATGTTGATCATCTTTGGAGAAGTATTTCTGAGATTTTTCCCCTTAGGTTTTTAAAGAAGTTTTTCATATTCTTCCTGTTAATTAAGATTTCTTTGTAAGGTTTCGATAGTAGTCCTTTATCACATACACCTTTTGGAAATATTTTCTCCAAGTTTGTAGTTTGTTTCCCTATTCCCTAACAATTTACTTCACAGAGCAAAAGTTTTAATTTCAATGAAATCAACTAATTTTTCATTGATTGTGCCTTTATTGTTGCATTCAAAATCCAATACTAATGTCATCCAAATTTTCTTGTCTTCTAGAAATTGTATTGTTTCATATTTTTTTTTTTAAATTTTTTATTGTGGGTTGTTCAAAACATTACAAATTTCTTGACATATCATATTCCACA